TCACCTAGTACTCACAAAATTTCCTTTCTGCTGGTGGGAATAAACGTGCTTTTTTCTCTCTCTTTTAAGTAGGTTTCTAGGTAGGAGTAAGTTGCACAGAAACCAAAATCCCAGTGGTTCCTGCACTGATTTTGATGTAAGACAGCAACTTACATGACACACTGCCATCTCAGGTGCACCTGAATGGCATGTTGATCAGCAAGATGCTGGTGGGTGGGAGAAAGATGCAAAGGCTTTTGGTGCAGTACAGCTGGATAGAAACACAAATGTGCCTTGAAATATGTCTTGTTTGCTGGCTACCTGTAGCTATCATTACCATAGGAGTGCTTGAAATTTATTTTAAAAATTGATCTCAAGCATAACCAGACCTTTCATACAAGTCCCTGTTATGATGAACAGAAGGGAGATAAACAACAGCTGCAGAGGAGGGAATATTCCCTGAATGCATCCTGGGATATGGGAGCACAGTTCCCACCACTTTGGCAGTCCACGTGCAACATTTCTGATGAACTGGACAATTTTCAAAGTTGTTTAGAATCATAGAATATCCTGAGCTGGAAGGAACCCACAAGGACCACTGAATCAAACCCCTGACTCCGCACAGTACCACTCAAAACTCAAACCCTATGTCTGAGAGTGGTGTCCAAATGCTCCCTGAGCTCCAGCAGCTCAGGGCTGTGCCCACCGCCCTCTGGTGCAGACCCTTTCCCTGACCCCCAGCTCCCTCCCCTGGCACAGCTCCATGCCGTTCCCTCGGGCCCTGTGGCTGTCACACAGAGCAGAGCTCAGCGCTGCCCTCCTCTCCCTGTGAGGAGCTGCAGCTGCCATGAGGGCTCCCCTCAGCTCCTCTGCTCTGCACTGAGCACAACAAGGGACCTCAGTTGCTCCCCACATACTATGCCTTCAGACCCTTTCCCATCCTTATAGCCTTCCTTTGTCCCGATCTTGCTGCAAGGCCTTTCTACCCTCCTCCCACTTTAGTGTCATCCACAAATTTACTTCGCATAACTTCCAGATCATTATTGGAATCAACAGTGAAAATACAGAAGAGAATGGGCCCTAAAATGGAGCCCTGTAAACCTCACTGGTGGCAAGTAGGACAACCGTCAGGCCTGCCTTCGCCCAACACAGCCATGTTTTTCTTGTCACAAGACACTCTTATGGTCACAACACCGTGGCCATGTGATGTTACAACCACCTCCCTGCCAACCGCTACAGATACGGGCATCCTGAGAACAGAACCCCGGTTGCTGACCGACTCATGTCGTGGAAGCACCTACCTGTGAGCGGGAGCTACAGAGAGAGCCTTCTCTCCTATTGTGGAAGCATTTGTGGAGGAGGATGGATCCTCCTCCACCAAAGAAGCCTCGGCTTCTAGAGAGCGGCAGCGAGCTGGAGCCAATGGATGTAGATCCTCCAGAGAGCGATCCTGAGCCTATGGAGGTGGATCCACCTTCATCAGGCCCGGGCAAGCAATATAACATCATGCTTGCTGGAGACATCACTTCATCCATCGGCAGTGCAGCAGGGGCACTCGGTTTCCATCTCGGCGTTGAAGAGTCACCATCCTCCAGAGAGTCCCTGGGCCAGCTGCTGCTCTCTGTAACCCCTTCTTCCCTGTTCCCCATCTTCATCCTTCCCCAAGACCTCTCACCTCTTCCTTCCCAAGCTGTGAGGAAAAAGGAAGGACTGGAATGCTGTCCTCTATGCTTCTGTACCATGACAGTGGGAGGAATCCAGCAGACAGCCCCGAGCTCCCTGCGACTTCTAGGCAGCACCAGACAAGGTAGAGAGGCAGCTTTCCATTGGAGAAGCGGAAGGCTTTGGTTTGGATGGGAAGAAGGAATGGCGTTCAGCACAAAGCTCCTTCCAGGTGCTCCCTGAGGACTTTTGTTTCAAAACCAGACAATAAACTATTGAAAAGAACAGTGCAGAATAGAAATAATGATAAAAACCTGAAGTTCTTTTCTAAAGCAAAATCAGTAAGTGCCTTTCTGTTTCTGGTGCTTTAGAGTCTGCCCTGGGCCTCCTGGGTCCCCTCCACTCTCCTCAGAGGGAACAACACGTGGGAAAAGTACACTGAGGCTCCTGAAAATACTGCAACAGCCACTGGGGTGGAAGGTGACAGATCTGCAGAGAGCAGGCCTGCAGCATTACTGATGCTGAGGCACAGAGGTGCCCCCTTATTAGCAGTTCTTTCCCCAAGATTGAAATGCACACAAGGTGTTGTCCCCTTCCAACCACTTTTGAGCTGAACTTCCCAACAGTGTCTTGTAAGCAGCAGGTGAAGTGCAGGGTCTGCAGCTGGGTTACCAGCTGGGGGATGTAAGGACAGAGCACAGCCCTGCCAGAAAGGAGCTGGGGGTAGTGGGGGATGGCAGCCAGACGAGTGCCAGCAATGTGCCCTTGCAGCCCAGAAATCCAACCGTATCCTGGGCTGCATCTAAAGCATTGTGGCCAGCAGGGCGAGGGAGGTGATCCTGCCCCTCTGCTCTGTGCTGGTGAGGCCTCACCTGGAGTACTGCATCCAGAAGTGAAGTCTTCGGCCCAGGAGGGACATGGACCTGTTGGAGTGCGTCCAGAGGAGGACTGCAGAAACAGTCCAAGAATGGAACACCTCCCCTCTGAGGACTGGCTGAGGAGAGAAGGTTCCAGGGGAGAACTGAGAGTGGCCTTTGAGTATCTCAAGGGTGGCTATAGGAAAGGCTCTGCTCTCTCTATGGACAAAGCACACTTCAGTCACCAATGTTAGGGATTCTTGTTTACTAGCTCTGCTTTCTGAGCAACCATTTGTTTTTCGTCCGAGCTTTCTCCAGAACGAGCACAGGACAACATGCCCATGCCCCTGCCCCTGCCATGGCTTACGCTGGCGCTGCCTTCTCTGTTTAATGTAGGTTACAAGAGAAATCTTGCAAGAGGTGCTTGCTGCCTCGAGGCGGCGTATCAGGACAAGAACGAAAAGTGAGTTTCTCAGCTGCCAGCTGGGGGATGAAACTGATGAGAGATTTTGCTGACTCAGGTGCTGGGCTGGCAGCATGTGATGGCCACCTCGCTGCTTGTGGACCATCTTCTGTCCTTTCAGTCTGAGTTGTGGACAGCTGGGGTTTGTGCACCGTTTCTAAGGTAGGATGAGCGTTAAATGAGGAAAACAAGTCTCCTTCCTGGAGACTGAAATGGATTACAGAGAAGCTGTGCTTTAATGAGAGCAATTTAGGAGTATGCAAGATGAAGGAGTGTGAAAGCCTTCAGGATAACTGTGTTTTAAAATGATGGACCAGATCAAGTCATTCTGGGATCAAATCAAACCCTTCTGTAAACTGTAACAGGTTTCTGATCCAGTCCCAGCTGCTTAGTTTAGTTTATGGACTCCTCATGGCATTGCAGTGACCTTTGGTAGTTTTTGTCTTAGGAGGAGCCTGGTAGCCCAGAGAGAAGTCAGAGCTGCGTGCTGCAGTGCATGCAAGAAATGGGCCCTGCTCCAAAGTGCTGCTGTCAAGCTCAGTGATGGGATAAGGGTGGGAAGGGAAAAGGGGCAAGATCTGCACGGCCAGTGTCACTTGTGCAGCTGGGTGGACTGCTGTTTGTCAGCTGGGTACCTCGTCAACCTTTCTGGAATATGACAGGCACAACTTCTCCATCACATAAGGAGATGTGTTGTGTGCTCAGTATTAGCATAAGTAAGTTACATTCCGCATGCATTTCAACTGTGCCAGGCTTTCCCTCTGCCTCCTCTAGGATCTTTCCACCCTCTGCTCTCTTGGTAATCTCCCTGCTGCAGCTCCTTGGCCCTTTATGCCTAGGCTGTGCTACCTCTCCTTGCCCAGAAGTCATTAGACTCTGTGATTTTTCTCCTGGGGAAAAGGAGAAGTGAATCATAGAAGAATGGAATGGCTTGGGTTGACAGTGTCCTTAAAGCCCATCCAGTCCCAACCCCCTGCCATGAGCAGCGCTGCCACCCACCAGATGAGGCTGTGCTTCATCCAACCTGAGCACCTCTGAGAATGGGGAACCCACAACTTCTCTATGCAGCCCATGCCAGCAATGCCTCACCTCCCTCTGAGTAAAAAATTTTTCCTGATGCCTAACAAATCTCCCCTCATTTAGTTTAAAGCCATTCTTTCTTGTCCTATCACTATCAGACCATGTTTCTCTCCTTCCAGCTTATAAGCTTTCTGTAGGAACTGACCGGCCTCAGTGAGGTCTCCCCACAGCCTTCTCTTCTCCAGGCTGAACCAGGCCTGCTCCATCAGCCATTTTTCATAGGAGAGATGCTAAAGCCATCTCAGCAACTTCATGGCCTCCTCTGTGCCTGCTCCAACAGCTCCACATCTTGTGCTGAGGACCGCCAGCCTGTTATGATGTTGTGTTCACACCCTTGTACACTTTCTCCTTCAGTGCTCGAAGTATCAAATATGTTTGTGTATGACAACAAACATGTCAGGTAGATCCACGTTATACACACATGTATGGTTGCAGGTGTGCATAGGATACATAAACATGGGCTCTGCCCCAAGCCTAGACAACCAGCATTTTTGAGCAAGTAATTTTTTACTTTAAACAGCAAATGCAAGAAACTGAAATAGAGAGAGATAGAGGTTCGTTTAGGGTTGACACCAGGCTGGCAGCTGGTTGGGTGCTGGTGGGCATGCACAGCATGCAGGGATGCCCTGGATGAATGGCAGCACCGACTTATCACAGGTGCAGCTGTGTTTGTGCTCAGGATGAGTGCTTCAATGTTCAGCCCGAGGGACAGGGACCGTGCTGTGCTCCCTCTGTGAGACTGGTCTGGCCAGCAGGCACTCAAAGGCTTCCTAACTTCCATCATGCATTTGTTTTTCTGACAGCACTCTGGCTTGGCGCAGCAGGAGCCAAGTTCTCTTGAAGAAAGCTTCTGCTAAAATAACATCAGTCTTGTTAAAAAAAAAAAAAAAAAAAAAAAAAAAAAAAAAAAAAAATTTAAAATATATATATATATGAAACAGAAACAAAAACAAAACCCAGCCACAAAAAGCGCAGGTGTGCTAACAGCTATGGAAATCGGTAGCAGGAGCAGATTTTCCTTTCTTTTTCCATCGCGGAGGGGTATGTCTCGCAGCGCAGGACGGTGCGAGGAGCGCACAGGACGGGCGCGGAGCAGCGGCGCGCAGGGTCCTTTTGGAGCCTACGGGACCCCGAGAAAAGCCAAATTCCTTCTGGGGGGCGGGGGGGAGGTGCTCAGTGATGGGGAGAAGGAAGGCGGAGGGCGGGGAAGGCACGGATCCGCACCGCCCTCGGCGGGGCCCCGCGCAGCGCTCGCCAGCAGCCGCCTCCGCTTCCCAGCGCGCCCCGAGCAGAGGCTCAAACTGAAAGTAAATTAAAAAAAAAAAACAAAACGAAACAGCCACTCAAAACAAAGCAAACTCCAGCAAAGATCCGCAACAAAACAGCCCCCAACCCAACAGCACAGAGACGGGGGTGCCAGGCGGGTGAGTACAACAGTGGGCCGCCCGGGCGGAGGATGCTGGAGCCGGCGGTGCCGGGAGGCCGGGGCTGCAGCCTCCGGGCAGCGATGCGGGACGCGACGGGACGGAACGGGAGGGGAGGGAGTCGCTGGGGTGTCGAGCCCTGGGGCTGTCAGGACGGGCTGCAGGAGGTCCGGTGCGGAGGTTGAGAAGGTGTGGTGGAAAGTTTGGGAGGGCGTGCCGGGGGCTGCCCCGCTGCACAGGACGTCGGGAGGTGTGACGAGGTTTCGAGCGCTGCCCTCGAGTCGTTCGAGGTACGGAGCTCTGCGAGGTCTGTGCCGCTGCGGCCGGGGCAGGGCGAGAGAAGGTACAAGAGCCAAGCTCTCTCTGCCTCAATCTGGGCTATCAGTATTTCCCCTTTCTAGAATCAAGAAGATCACTACATTTGTAACTGGGTGCAGGGAGAGGTGGGCTCTGGGTGAATCATCAGAACTCTGCTCCAATGCGGAGGGGGAGGTGAGTGCTGCTATTGACGCTGGAGTCTCCAGGTGCCTGGCCGAGCAGATCTTCACCACCACGGCTGCGGTTGGAGTGCAGCTCCTTCCCCTCCCTCCTTTTGCCTCAATTCAGCAGTAGCAGCAGAAGCACCGAAAGAACAGGACCCACCTGATTTCAAAAGCACTGACCTGGCAGTGGTGCTCTTTAGTGCCCTCACAGAACCTTTGAAAGCAGCAGTCCCATGCAGAGCTGAACTTCCCCAGCATGGCTTCGTGTGAGGCTTTATAGAAAAGGCTCCTCTGTCAGTTGATGGGAAGAGATAAACTGTTACAGTGGAAGCAGAATCAGGACCAGCTTCTGTTTCCAGATGCCAGCCTCACAGGGGTGGGAGGAAGTGTGGAGCTGTGGGACCTATCTCTGTGAAGGAATTCTGGAGCTTTGAGAGTGGAGTTGGCATGCAGGGGAAGCTGGTAGGCACACATGTGGAGGGAACACAGTCACATATGTCTTCTTGCAGAAGAAATGCCAGGGCTAAATTCCAGAAGGCACATCACTGAAAGAGAAGTATAACAGTTTACTTTTTTAAAAAAGAGTGTTGTTCTGCTTTCTGAGTATTCAGAATATCCAAATTTTCAAAATAGAATCCTATACCTTGAGAGAAAAGGCTTGACTTTCTCCTGTGGGATTTTGTTTTGTTTTGGTTTAATCTGTAACTGGAATCTGTACTTCTTCCAGTTGTCAGGAGCAGGGAATTTCGCTCAGTTACATCCAACATATGGCAAAATGATCTGTGAAATCTGAATAAAGAGTGTCACTGAAGGGGAAGAGTCATCTGAGGACAGGCAACCTAGCACAGATGTAGATTGCAGGGGAACGGGAACTTGTTACACGTTGATGTGTGTGGATTTGGAGAGAGTTTATGTGCTGTGTAGTTATTTTCTGTGCACTCGTGTGATATGCTGGGGAACAGAAGACCCAGAAGAATGTTATAGTGAGTCCCAAAGTGAGAAGTTGTATGCCTCCTCCAGCAGAATTTCCTGGGTTTGCCAAAGGGTGGGAGACCTTTCATGGCTCGCCTTTTGAAAAACAGCCATCTGAAGCTCAGTAAAGCATATTCACAGAGGGCAGAGCCAACAGTGTCTCTCTGTGCTGTCTGCATGGTGAGGGAACATGTGAGACTGCTCTGAGAGGAGTCCAAGTCCAGTCTGAGCAGAGGCAGAGTGCAGTGCGTGGGGGTGCTGTTTGTGCAGACTGCTTTCTGATTTAACTAAGGGTTAACCAGGCTCAAAACAGTGTTTGGACTGCTGCAGAAAGCTGCGGGTAGACAGCAGGTTGGTCACCAAACTCGAGGAGCACTCATGATTGATACTGTACTCTTTTTCACCAGTGGTCCCTTGTGAAGCGGAATAAAGATGTCATGGGACAGCAGTGCAGCAAAGGCTGAAGGCTTCAGACACACTGGTCCTGCTAACGCCTCACTCTGACTGCCCTTGGCATCCTGTGGGCCTGACAGTGCAACATGGTCAGGATGAGGAGGAAGAGGCTGTGGGCATCTTGCATCTGCTTTGCAGTTTTCTTTTTCCTTGTGATGATGCTTCAGGTACAGGGGCAAGGGCAGGGGGGAGTATATGTGTGGGCATATTCAAAATGTGACACAATTCTGGAAGATGCAAGGGACCATTAAAAGCAACAAACGTATTGTGAGAGGAATGTTTGAAGACACTCTGTCAGCAGGATTGATCTGGTGATGCCAGCTGACCTTAGAATTGACATTACATAGGGAACTCCTTGGCTCTTGGAGGAGTTCCTCAGAAATGATGTACCACGCCTCACCGTAGTGCATTGCCTCTATACAGCACTTCCTTCTCAGTCTTCTCAAGGCAGCATGTTTAATCTGGTGAGACAGAGGGATATAACTGGACCTATTTCAGGTTGATATGGCAGGCTGACCAGGATTTTGTGAGCTTTATAATCAGTGATCTGAGCAATCAGTAAGCAGGCCAGCAGGCCTGACTTAGCATTGGTCATTCTTAACACTGGGAATTCAGTAGATGGTCAATTAAAAAAACGAATGAGGAGGCATATTGCAAGGGCTGCTCTTGCAAATGCCTCCTATTTTATGATGTTGTCCCATGATGTCAGTGGCAGATGTTGGTGGAACAGCAGTAGAGACTGAAGCTTCCCACCAATATCCCATTACATTTTGCTGCTGTGCAACAGATGGCAGCAGAGGGGCATTCTGACACAATGGTGTCTAACATGGAAGTGTGCATGAAGCAGTGATGTGTATGTACTTACAGGATTATTTGAGTTATATTACTGCACTTACATCTTACCAAATTCCTAGACAAATAAGCCTTATCCCCAGCCAGCATCCTGTCTACTTGCCAATGTGGGAGTGTTTTCTGTATTCTCTGTGCAGCTGCACTTTGCACAGTTGACTGTGTTGTCTCAACATCCTGTGTTTTACAGAGCCTATTTAGTCTAGCTACAATCAGTGTATTTTACTAGACAGTAAGAGTGAATGATACAGCAAACAGTAAAATGAATGCATGCAGTAACACTATCAGGGAAGATAAACGTTTTCAACCAACTTAATATAAACAATACTCTCCTTCCTTCCAATATTCTCCTTCAGAGCCATCCAGAAAGTGGAAGTGCGGTGAGCCAGAGCTGTCTGGTCGGTCTGGTTCAGTCATTCTTGCAGCTGTTCCTGGGGTGGCATTAAGCACTGCCCGTAAAGATGCACATGCAAAAAGGCATCCATATGGTAGCAGGAAGGTCATTGCCCTGCTGAGGCTAAGGGCAGCTTCTGTGTATGCTGTGGGATCACCTCAGGACACTTGTACTATGGGTACTACCTGCAGAAAAGGGTGGTGTTTTCACAAATACCAGAATTGCTGAAGCCTGATACTTCTTTCCCATGGCTGATGGTAGGCACTGTTGAAGGCTTTTCCTATGAGTGGAGGGTTTTTAAGGCTCCTCATAGTTTTTTGATCTATAAATGATGATTTACTGGCAAATCTTTTACTTCTCTGCATACAGATTTTTTTTTCTTCTTCCTGGCCATGAAGCTGCAGTTAAGTTTTCTTTAAGACTCATCTACATCTGATATATTCAGTCACTGGTTTAAAAATAAAGAAGCATGGGCACATGAAGACCTCATTTTACAGATGATTTCTAGAAGGAACTTAGCTACTGTATGGCTTATTTTGAGAAAAAAAGCAGAATTCATGCTGTTCAGTTGTGTGTGACATGGCCATATCTCAGAAATTTATTTACTTCTCCTTCCTTACCTATACAAATTGAAGCTCTCTCTGATCTGAAGTAAATTACATGGACAGTGCTTCAGTGAAGTGTATTCACTTCTTTAGCTGATAGAAATTTTACAGAGGCTTATTTACTACTTGATGCTTGAACTCGAATGTGTCAGGCAAATGTTCTGGCTAACAGCAGTGATGCATTGTGATATGTTTGTTTTTTTTCCCCTGAAGGTTATCACTGAACTGGGCAATTCAGAAAGTCAGGCAGCAGCAGTCTTACACAGTGGCCCACTGAAACCTGATGAGAGACATGCTTCCCAGCTTCAAAAGAAGGAACTTTACAGCAACTTCAGGATGGAGCCTGATACAGATCACTACCCCATCCTGCTCTGGTGGTCTCCTCTGACTGGAGAGACAGGGAGATTGGGGCAGTGTGGTGAGGATGTTTGTTTCTTTACTATTAACAAGACCTACCAGCACAGTCAGATGACAAGAGCTTTTTTGTTCTATGGTAAGGAGCTGTTTCTTTCTAAGGGAGAAACTTTCCCTCCTGTCATTTTCTCTTACACATTAAATATTCTAGGTGGAAATCAACGAGGAGAAGAAAGTTTACACAGCTCACTTTGTTAAATTTTGCCTGGTGCTGAATCCGTTATCAGAGGTCCAGAGACCTTTGCAAAAGTACTCAGAAAAGTGACGATCCATGGGATGACTGTTCCCTTGTCCCATGCTGCTTTCCAGTCACACATGTGCTCCTTGTTTATGGCAGAAAAGATTATTTCCTGTAGTTGCCAAGTCATGAAAAGAGTCTGAGATCAGGCTGTTTTTTTCCAGTCTTCTAGCTTATCACCTCCAGCAGAAGTTCTGCAAGGCCTTTGTTGCACTTGTGCAAATCTTTTGTCTTAAGATTATGCTTTCACTGGTAACTGTGCAACTGCCTTGCCTCATGTGCCAAGAGATTGCCAGCAGACTGTAAAGGAAAGGAAAGTACTGAAAGAAATGTATTGATTCCACACAGAATGGCAGCTAGGGCAGCCTGCTGAGCTCTTCTGGCTCCGCTGTCTCAAAAACTTCCCACTACTTGTACTGTAACAACAAAACACAGAAGAGGCATCTTTTAAAAGTAGTCTTTATTTTGTTATTTTTCCTCATACCATTACAGAGAAATATAATAACCCTAGGTGGAAAACTAACGACAATTAATTTTCTGTGATTGGTAGATTCAGCTCCTTTGTCTGGAAACAAAACAAAACAAAACAAAACAGTCCTGAATCTTCATTCACTAGTTCAGATCATAGGTGAGCTGGAAATAGAGGGAAGAGGGGGTCTTTTATGGAACTGTTAGCAGTAAACCCAGAAACTTCTCATCAGTGATCTCTTCCAAGCTTGAAGTAGGTCAGCATTGTCTGCTCATAATATAGTGGTCAGGGATGAAAGCAAATGAATAACAGCAAGAGAATGAGAAGCTGACCCAATTAAATACATGGAAAGCTAGGTCTGCATCACGTGAAAGTTGTGAAGTCTGATATTTCTGGTCTCTGCCAGCGATTTTGTTTGCCTACTTCAGCATTAAAATAACAATTACTGTTTACTTATAGCCAGTGATGATTTATTTTAACAGACATGATTTACTTGATGATTTTTAAAAGATTATTTTTACTGGACTATAGACCTTTCTTGTAGTTTTTCTAGTGATGCTCTCTTTGTACTGCATAGAAAAGTGTCAACATATTCAGAAGTGCTACTTGATTTTAGACTATTAAACACTCTCAGTGTGCCAAAATCTGCAAAGACGAGGGGTTGAAGGAGATAAATAATGCTATGTCAAGCAGAAAAGCATACCACCCCCTATTCCTTAGATGCAGTTAGCTGTGGGCCTGCAAAAATGGAGATTTTGACGTTCCAGAATTTCCAGCTGAACAGCCTACTGAGTGAAAGAAACCTTGAACATCTGCATGCCCATGCTAAGATTAGATTAGGGCACAGCTTTACATTCCAAAGAAGTTCATTCATTCCCTCCTAACATTTGGTCAGTGAACTTGTCAAAAAATGAATGTTTGATTGAATGAAAAGAACATTATGCAAAATGGGGTGCAGATGTTTTTCACCAGAACTGCATTGCTAGTAACAGCTGCTTTTCTGCAGCTTGTCTCTACTTACTGTCTCGGCCTGGGAAACCTGTGGGTGTGAAGGATGACTTTGTGAAGTCTCTCTTCTGGAATTTGAGATGTGACAATCACTTGCTGGGTTTTGTCTCTATCTTGGGGAGGGATTCCAAACCCTACTTTTTCAACATAGCGTACTCACAGAGTTTTACTTGTACCAGTGCTATTCCTTCTGAGAAAAACTGCAACACCAGAAGAGGGAGATGCCCAGCTTTTCTGTGCTGGAGAGTTGGGTCCTTGGAATATGAATTGTGAGTGAAAGGTGTCTCCAAAGATGTAGAACTACTGCTGAGAGCATCTTTCATTTTTTTCCTGCACTTTATCACATATCTAAATTTCCTAGTTTAGAAGTTGAAATTGCTTGTCCTTACAATCTTGCTATGCTTTCTTTATCCCCTCATAGACTCATTCATTTCCTTTATTTCACAAGGTCAGTAACATAGTTATTTTCTGTTTAATGCTCAAAAGCTTTTTGTCTGCTTTCTGAATTGAGATTGGCTAAGTGTCATACTAGAATCGGTCATTTTGGTGTGATTTTATTTACTGAGCATTTTTCTTTCGGTTTCTCTGTGGCAGATTTTGTCTTTGTTTTACACAGTATTCTTTTATCTCAGTGTCGTCCCTTTTCTGGTGTCATTCTTTCCTTCCCTCCCCTCTGCAGTGAATTTTCCTTCTCCCTCACCTTTGCAAGAGAAATAACTGAACATTTCATTATGCACTGCTGCTTCTCTTCTGGGCTTCATAGAACAATGTGTTTCCAAGACCAGATAGGCTGTATGAATAATTCTGTGAGAATTTGATTAATTCTAATTTTTCTTCCTTTTTTCATCATTACCACATATAAAAAAAAACAGAGGAAATGAATATCTCTTTTTTTGGTGCGTGACATAGCACTTTACCTTTTTAGTGTCCAGAGCTTGGGACCACCCTTTAGTGGAAAACAAAGTCACATACTTGGTGGCCTTGAAAAAAACAACTCCAAAATAAAGAAAAACCCGATGCTCTTTGAAAGGTCTTGCACTACAGGAGGTTTTTATCTTCTTGGCACCTATTATCCATCTTCACTACTTTAGTGTGGTCTTCTATTGATTTTATAAGGTCACTCTTGGAGTCATCTTAGCAGACTTGCACAGTCACAGAGATCCTTGGACATTTTTTTCCTTCTTTATGTATTAGCTTTTAGATGAAAAGTTTGGGTTAGATTTTTGTTAACTCCTTTGTTTATTTATTTATTTATTATCATCAGTAGTTTGAGATCAAATGTAGAGTGGAGAAGAAAAGCTGATGAGTGTGTTAGGGATAGCAGAGTGTCATCTATGAAGAAAGGGGATTTGTTTTGTCCTCAAAATCAGCTGTTACCTTTGTTTTGATTTACACTGCCCTGCTTGGCAGTACAGGTTAAAACTGTTGGATGTCCAGTGCTGGTATTTCAGTCAAAAACAAATATAATGTTAAGATTTTGAGGAACTGTCTTGGCAGAGATTCATCAGCTTTGCATTTAACTTGAAATAAGGCTAGCTGTATGGATGTGCAGCTGAAGGGAGAGAAAGGTTGAGATTCATGATTTGATATTTTGAATTCAGTTTTGGACAGACCAGTGAAGGCTGGTCTGAGAAAATGTTTTTCATGAGAAAACATTTTCATGGGAAAATATTTCTAGGTTTGACTTGAAGCTTTCACCCTGAGTTGTTTGGGAGGTTCACTGTCCTTCCAGTGAGGTGCAAGCAGCTGCAGTGGTCTGCTTTTTGAGTTTAGGCTTTATTCTTCCTCTAATTCTGACATTAGATTTAATCTTCTGCTAGAGGTTATTCCCTTATGTATCTGCTAGTCAGCTGTGAAATATCATCTGTTAGTTCTCTCTTTGATAAACCAAGTAGATTGTCTTCCAAAATCTATAATAGAATGTCTTTCCAGCGCGTCAGGTTATTCTTGCATAACTGTGTCCAATGTTTTAGCATCTTTTTTGTTATCTTAATACTAGAACCAAATTCATCCCCATAGTGACCATTTCCCTTTCATCTTAGAGGCAATACTGTCTGTTCCCCTATTTACATATAGAGAGAATTATTAAGCATCTTATTAGTCTCCCTTCCATGCAGTAAAATATGAAATTTTACGTGGCTTTGAAATGAGAGGCTTTTAAATTAATATGACCTGAAAGTAAATCACTTCTAATGTTAACTACCAATCCCTAGTCTCTAGATTCTGCTGCTGCCAAATTTACTTCTATCTGTCATAACACTCCTCTGTCATTGAATTAAACACTCTTTTGGTGGTGCTGCCTTATAATCTCATAAGTACAATGTTGTAGGGCTGATATTAAATGAAAACTGGGTTTCTATGTACTGTCCTTCAGTGTAACATGATAGAGAAAGGCCAGACTAAACACCATTTGCTTTTGTCTAGGTACTGATTTCGGTGTAGACAGCCTACCCCTTCCTCGAAAAGACCATCACGATTGGGCCCTTTTCCATGAGGAGTCACCAAAAAACAACTACAAACTTTTCCATGAACCAGCTATCACCTTGTTCAACCACACTGCAACTTTCAGCCGTCATTCTCACCTACCGCTGACCACTCAGTACCTTGAGAACGTAGAGGTCCTCAGGTCCTTGAGACATATGATCCCAGTGCAGATGAAGAACAGCCTGAGGAAGCAGCTTGCACCACTTGTGTATGTGCAGTCTGACTGCAATGCTCCTTCTGACCGGGACAGCTATGTACGTGAGTTGATGTGCCACATTGAAGTAGACTCTTATGGAGAATGTCTGCATAACAGAGACCTTCCTCAGTATCTCAGAAATCCATCTGCCATGGATGATGAGAACTTCTATAAAATACTGGCGCAGTACAAGTTCATTCTTGCTTTTGAAAATGCTATCTGTGAAGATTATATCACTGAAAAACTCTGGCGGCCTCTGATGCTGGGAGTGGTACCTGTGTACTTTGGTTCTCCCAGCATTATAGACTGGCTTCCCAGCAACAAGAGTGCAATCTTGGTATCTAGTTTTTCACACCCTCGAGAGCTGGCCCACTATATCAAAACGCTGGATCAAAATGACCAGGAGTATGAGGCCTACCTGGAATGGAAACTGAAAGGAGACATTTCCAATCCAAGGCTGCTTACAGCAATGAAGGAACGCAAATGGGGAGTGCAAGATATCACTCAGGACAATTACATTGACACATTTGAGTGCATGGTGTGTAACAGAGTGTGGGAAAACATCAGAAGAGAACAAAAGGTACTTGTGACTTTAAAATGACGCTAGGTTCAGATTTCCCCTAGGAAATTTGATTATCAGTTTTGTGACTAGCCTGCAATCACTGGTATTGCAGTGTCATTGAGTTGTATATCCTTATGTCAAAAAGTGTTGGCAGAAGGTGTGAGTGCATGGCCAGGACACGTTTTCATCATTTTTTAAAGCTGTTAATGAGCACAGTTATCAGAATAGATGAAAAAAAACTTTCTGTGCCCAGTAATGCAGCTGGTTAACATCTGAAGTACCTTACAGCTCTCCTATACGCGTTAGGCCAAATATGTGGTGGTGACAATCTGAGCTGTATGGTAACTAGTCAGGTAGAAGAGGAGAGATGAAAAAGGCATGTGAAATTATTTGGGTGAACTGAAATGGGAAGTGCAAACGAGCAAGCATTACATTTAACAAGACTTTCCTAGCTAATCTAGTGTAAATCTATGCAGATGTCCACTCTTTAAGCACGAAATACAAATATGGAAATATATAAAACGGATGAAATGCAGAGATTTCTTTCCCATACTTGGTGGCTCTTCAGTGAAGCAGACTGTGAAGACCAGTCTGCTCTCCTGATCAATTTATAGCTTGTTTTTAATTTTCTTTCAAAAAAAATTTCATGAAATGTGTGCATATTTAAGATGAAAATTGATTATAACGACAAAAGTAGAGCTCCTTGTTTTTCAAGTTCGCTTAGCTGATGCTGCTTGTTTGCAACCAGATTTGATCTGAGAGTCTGGCTCTTGTCAGCCTAATTGCCCTTATTCTGGGCACCTCAGGGAGAGTTTCCACTCAGACATCTGCAGGGGCATGGCTAGGGCCTGTGGTGGAAGGATGAATGTCACTGACATGCTTTAATAATTTACTAATGGCAGAGTTAGTCTTCTCTGTCTGCCAGGGTCCTTGAATAACCCATTCCTTTTATTTCTCTGCGTTGTCAGGGATGGCTGCCCCAGAGGTGGAGTGCTCAGGTTAAACATCTGAACTGCCCCAAACCTGAGGCTTTCTGGTTCTCCTCTTCAAATCCCAGCCAGACCTCCCTCCAAGAGATGTGGATAGCAAGTTTTGAGCAGTCCAAGAAGGAAGCCTGGGCGCTGAGGAAGCTGGTGGAAAGGAACAGGAATTTTACAGCTCAAGAATTTTGGATGCTTGTATTCAAAGAATAAATACAACAACTGTAAAACAAAGTGAACTCCTCAGAGAAATCTATGGATTTTATTTTATTTTATTTTGAAAGTTGCCTTATTGAATGTAGGATTGGAAGTAGACATGGAAGACTGACTTTAGTATGTTCAGTGCTCAGTCCAAGGTGCTAAGCAGTAGAATCACACTACTGTATGGTAGGTGTAAGCACAAGTTCATCAGGATTCTTAGGACCCAGTGTCAATCACATGGCTAGTCCCCGTGAAGCAAATGGATCTCTCCCTGTCTTCAGATACATGCCTATTCATAACCTCAGGGCTCCTTTCTTCCCCAGTCCAGGATCCTCATTTGCTGCACTGACATCAACAAGTTGAAGAACAGCTGACATCGTTACACTGGTACAGCTTGTGTGCTGCTTAGGATATAGGGAAAAAATTGGGACTGTGTCCCTGGCTAGTTGTTTATTATCAATTTCCCTGGCATCAGCAGATTTGGCAGGGACTTGGCGGGCTTTGTGTCCTGACACTGAATGCCAATGTAAAGTGCATTAGTACTTGGCACAGGAAAGCACCATCTGTTAGTGTCCAGGGACAGATTGAATGAAAAACGTGCTGGCTCAGATTTACCCACTATCTTCTGCTAAAATAAGCAGAGCACACAAATGTCTCCACTCCACAGAAACAGGGCTGGCCTCAATCTCACTTGCCTTCTTGCCTTTCTGATGATGGACTACTTTTTGTATAATATATAAACATGGAATTGTGTGCTTGAAAAGTCAGGAATAAAACTGAGAGTCAGTTGGTGCTGAAAAGTCTTCAAAAAGCTAAAGAAAAAAAGCTTAAGCAAACTGCCTACCTGTTCCAGCATAGAAGACCCGAATAATATAAGTTGCTCCAAAAGGAATGCCTCCTATTTATTTCCATGGAAACTACAACAGATACAAAGAGCACAATAACACTATTTGATAAAGTAAATTCCAGTTACAAAACTCTATTTTTCAGTGTTTTTTTTTTTTTTTTTTAATAGGGATTACTCATCCCTATTAGCTATGCATTTTTGCCAGCAATGAATAAAAGCCTGCATGCTGTGCTCATAAAAATCTGCACCAGCAGAGGTGACCCAGTGTCACTCTTGCCACTGCTGAAACACAGCACCCACCACCCCACTGTGCTCACACCCACTGTTCAGTCTCCACAAGTGTTCACCAAGCATTGATGAATGTCAATGGGTGCCATTTTTCCATATGGAGGAATTAAATTCCATACCTTTGCTTCATCTGCTCTTCCATGTCAGATGCCATTCACTCAGACTGTCCCTCCACTGCCATCTGTCACATGGGATATTGGTGGGAAGGTTCAACCTGTACTGCCATACCACCCACATCTGCCTCTGACATCATGGACCAACATCATAAAATAGGAGGCACAAGGAAAAAGCTTAATGATACTGATTATCACTTTGCAGATTTGTACCTTTGTACAAGCTGTTGCAGCTTTCATCTCTTTCAGTCTGTGGAGAAGTCCATTTCCACAGGAGCTGCACAATGGCAACATCTCTCTTGAGTCCTTCATATGAGGGAGAACCATTTTTATGATGACAGCGTCATCATAAAAAAAGTTCACATCACTGGAAAGGCAGAATTTCACTTGTCTGATAATTGAGAAAGATGCCAATAGTGTGTACACCAAGAATTCCAGCTGCAAAATATACTTAAACTAGAAAAAGATCCTCTCCAAATAGTTAGTAAACTCTTAATTATTTTTCATTCTAGCAGAAGAAAGCAATTTTGTGGTCACAAACCATACAGCATTGGCCTTGGTTTGTATGACCTCATACTTCTTTTCATACGAGCAACAATGCCACCAAAATCTCTCTCTGGCATTTTAGCAGTGTGGCACTCAGAATCTGCTGGATAGATCTAAAATTCTTTCTCTGCTGCCATGCAATACAAATTATAGTAAGCTTTACAAACAAAGCAGACCTTCAGATAAGTGGTGTTAACAGTAGACGTAGAAGCTTTCCTAAATCAGGATCTAAAACTGAATATAAGTCCTTCAGCATTCTCAAAGGGAACTGCTAAATCCCAGCCTGTCACCATCAATTTCTGTTTCTCCTCTGTGGATGACACAGAACATCTGCAGCACAAGGGACTAACTTTTTTTTGGCATGATGTTCTATGGTACCAAAAATCTTAAGCCAGGTTGTTTAAAGATCTCAAGAGCTGCAAAAATGAAGACTTCTAATCTTTTTTAAAAACTGTTTCCCCTGAGCTTCCCAAGCAAATTGGTAGATACGATCTGAAGATATGAGGCATATTTACTCAGAAAGTCTGTGATGCATTGTTATCTCTCATTTTACCTTGGTGGAGTAGGAGGGAAGGAAATATGAATTTCTTGGTTTACAACTCACATTCTGAAATTCAGTGTTGTCAAGTAGCATAGGTTTCAAAAGAGGTAACATCCCTTTATCCACTACTCAACAAAGAAGAAAGGCAAACTCCCAGGCTGTTTGGCTTAAGGTACACTGTGATATGGGATAATTATCACTTACTCTCACAAGGTCCTCTCATGATGTAGGTTTTCTAAAGGACAGAGTTCTTGGCTTCCACAGGCTAGTTCAGAGCAACCTAAAATTGGTTTCTTGGTCTTAAATCACCCTTTGGAGCCTTTCCTCCTGTGCTGGGTGGAAGGAAGTTTTAGAGAACATCATTCTGGGTTATTTGGACATACTACGACAGTGATTTCTGCATGTTAGTGAAGTGTACCTCTACTGCCCTGAAGAAGAATAAGCAGAATCTGCTGACCACTTTCTGTCTCTCTCTCTCCCCCCCCCTTTTTTTTTTTTAGCTGATTTGCTAGGCTTCCCTCTCTGGAAGGATTTGTAATTTTAACCAAAAGGAATCCCATTTGTTTGGCAGGCTTGTGTATATCCTGGATGGTATAGGCCTTTCTTTTTTTGTTTTCTTTTTCTTTAAGAAAAATATAGTAAAACTGTTGAGAAAACCTCTGCGTTTCCATTAACTAGAGATGATGCTGACTAATAAATGCAGATCTACCAACTTCTTGCACAGTGGCAACAAACTATCATGGTTTCCCCTGCTGCGGGATATGAGATGAAAAATATTGACTCCTATACTAGGCTTGCATTTATTCCCTATATCCATCAACTTGCCCAAGAGTCAAGCAGGTTTGTGCCCTTTGGGCCTGCAGTATTCTTTGCATATGAAAAACAAAAGCTCAGGACCAGGCTGCTCAGAAGATGGCTGTAGTCATCTTGTAGGTGGCCCTGGAGCAGGCCTGCCACAGGCCAAGGGGGCTGGGGAAGGCTGGGAAAGTCTTGGAGATCATCTTTGGATATGGTCTTCTTGCCTTTCCCAAGGGAAATCTGAACTGGGACATGGATGAGCATGACCAGGGCTTGTTTTCACCTTTCTGCTGCGTTACCCTGACCTCTCTACTTGTAGCCTCCTCCTTTCATCAGCTCCCCCTGACATACCTGCTTCCTCATGCCTCCCATCATCTATTGCATCTGATTGTGCAGAGAAAGGAAACACTGGGAGTTGCCTTTTTTGTTGTTGTTGTTTTCATTTTGTTTCTGTTTTTACTGCTTACATTTCACCATTTCTCTTCCACTGTGGCCTTGTCCCTCCTCTCCTGTCCTCCATGGGGTTTGGTTGCCCATTCTGAAGGCCTGGTCTCACCTAGTGCAATGATAACCAGGTGTCAGGCTGCAGTGAGGGAGCTAAGGTAAGTCATACAGAATATCCCAAGTTGGAAGGGACCCATAAGGATCAGCCCTCCCTGTGAGTAGCTGGAGCCACATGAGGATTCCCCTCAGCTTCTCTGCACTGAGCACACCAACGGACCGCATCCTCCAGTCCTGCACATCACAAATCTTCCTTCAGCTCTCTAAGAGTTGCTTCATCTTCTGAGCTTCAGACTTCAAATTTCTTCCTTTCTCTGAACTCTGACTGCTCAACCAGTTTTTCACAGATCCTTTTTTTTCCCCTGCCTTCAAAATCCTTATTATCATGATACCAGCCAGCATACTTGCTTTGTTTAATTTTCTTTACAAGGTCTTAGTTGGGGGGGGGGGGGGGGGGGGGGGGGGGGGGGGGGGAGGAGGTATTAGCACAGGTGGGAGCAGCTCATGTGAAATCACTGCACTAAGCATACATTAAGGAGTATTTGCCTCAGAGAATGAACAACTAAGAAAATAATTAGAGAAATAAAACATAAGGAGAACTTTGCATTCACTTCAATGCAAGACTCATTCCTCTGCTGTGGCTGCACAACTGTACATCGTGATCTTCAGCGGTCAAATCTGAACTTCATCCCTCATTCAGCATTTTGTTGAAAAACAAAGCCAAACACTTGCTTCTGGCAGGCTTTAAAGAAAGCCAAGGATCTTGACACCAGTAGTGCACATTTGCAAAGTCCGTGATACTCTTTTTTTTTTTTTTTGTCAGCAGCATGGTCTCAGCCTGACACAAAACACAATGTGGGTTGTGATGTGCTTCTACAGAAAAGCATGCAACCAGTGCATATGTAAGATGTGAATGTAGGCAGCATAATGCTGCCACATGCTGCACAACTCTGTGGAGGCTGTGCAAAAAAAAAAAAAAAAAGACTGAGATTAAAAGTAGGCTCTCTGTATGTAATTAATGGAAAGAGAAGCACATTTGAATTACCCTTTGAAGGAGAACTTTCTCCAACAGCAAGTGTGGTGGGCCAGGTTATGTGGGATGCTGTGAATGCATGCTGCTGTGTTGTGCTGGCTGACTGTCCTAGTTAATAGCTTATAAACCTGTTTTGTATGCAGAGCTTGTTTTTAGTATTTATCCTAAAATTAGGGTTAAAGAATTAATTATTAAAAACCGTTTGCTGAGCTCTTGACTGCCTGGCCTTGGAAAAAAGATGGAGCATAGAGACAGCAGTTTGGCATGTGACCAATGAACTGCCTTAAAAGCAAGCTTGTTTAATGTAACTACACATTTCCTGCAGGGAAAAACTTACTTGCAGATTGTTAAGTTTGAAAACT